CCTCCTGGAGAGCTGGCAAGGAGAATCTGAGGAAGGTGGTGCTTGACCCACAGTCAAGGCCGACAAGATCAGCAGAGCTGCAGGATGTGACAGGTGCTCCTCTCGGCCTTGGGCACCAGACACCAGTTGTCAGTCAGGGAGAAACCCTGGAGCACCAGAGCTCACCAGTGCTTGGCTACGGTGGAGATCATCACAGACAGCAAAGATTGGGAAGCTCTTCATCTGCAGTAGACGGTAGACCAGGCTTCCAGGTTCAAAAGCCTTAGAAAGGGCAGGGAGAGAGGGCTGGGAGAGAGCTGAGAGAGGGCAGAGAGAGAGAGAGCCCTAAAGGTATAGGCAGCTACTTATTGCAAACCCTTCCACATGGTGGAAGGAGAGGTCAACTCTAATCCATTACCCTGTGCAATGGAGAATGAACACCCCCCCCCCAGCACATGCACGTAATAAAATAACTGTCTTTTTTTTCCAGGCCAAGGTTTGAAGGTTTAACTCAGTGGTAGAGCACTTGCCTTGCAAACACAAGGCCTTGGGTTCAGTTCCAAGCTCCTGAGGGATAAAAAAAGACAGAAACACACACACACACAAACACACACACAAACACAGACACACACACACACAAACACACACACACACCACAGACACACAGAGCCCTCCTGAGCAGGTACTTAAGCAAGACAAGCAGGAAGGCAAGTCCAAAGCTGCCAGAGTTAAGTTGCTGGTTGTTAGCCTCTGGGAATGTAGGACCAGTGTTATCCATTTTCCAAACCAAAGAATCCAGAAATTTTTATTTTCACATGAAATTCATTGTAATAGTTCAAGGATAAGTTCTTATTACTATTTTAGAAAGCTGGAGAGACCATGCTCTTCCAGAGGACCTCAGTTCAGTTCCCAGTACCCAGGTACCCAGGCTGGGTGGCCTGCAGCTAACCAGCCACATGTAACTCCGGCTCCAGAGGACTGGATGTGGTCTTCCGGCCTGAGGGCTCTAGTACACACCCATGTGAATGTCAAAGAAGAAAGCCAAGCCGGGTGGTGGTAGTGCCACAGGCCTTTAATCCCAGCACTTGGGAAGCAGAGCCAGGTGGGTCTCTGTGACTTCGAGGCCAGCCTGGTCTACAGGGCTAGTTCCAGGACAGGTTTCAAAGCCACAGGGTCAATGTCTGTTCACTAAGGGGGCTAGAAGAGGGCAAAGGATTTCTAGGAACTAGAGTTAAAGATGGTTGTGAGCTGACATGTGGGTGCTAGGAATAAAACCTGGGTCCTCTGAAAGATCAATCAGTGCTTTTAACCGCCAAGCCATCTCTCCAGCCCTGTGTATTGTTAAAACAAGTCAACTTGCAGTTCAGAGGAATACTTGGTGAGTGCAGATTGTACATTGGTTTATTATGAGCCAGGCTTGGTGGCACACACTTTTAATCCCAGCACTCAGGAGGCAGACGCAGGTGTATCTCTGTGAGTTTGAGGCCAGCCTTGTCTACTGAGTTCTAGGGCAGCCTCCAAAAACAATACAGAGAAACCCTGTCTCAAAAAACAAAGATTTATTATGTATACAGTATTCTGCCTGCAGGCCAGAAGAGGGCACCAGATCTCACTACAGAGGGTTTTTTTTTTAATATTTTATTTATTTATTGTGTATACAGTCTTCTGCCTGCCAGCAGAGGGCACCAGATCTCATTCAAGGTGGTTGTGGGTACCAGATCTCATTCAAGGTGGTTGTGAGCCACCATGTGGTTGCTGGGAATTGAACTCAGGATCTCTGGAAGAGCAGTCAGTGCTCTTAACCGCTGAGCCATCTCTCCAGCCCCCACTACAGAGGGTTATGAGCTACCATGTGGTTGCTGGGAATTGAACTCAGTTAACCTCTGAGCCATCTTTTTTGCCCCCCCACTTTTGTGGGGGTTCTCTGTAGCTTTGGAGACTGTCCTGGAGTTCGCTCTGTAGACCAGGCTGGTCTTGAACTCACAGAGATCCACCTGCCTCTGCCTCCTGAATGCTGGGATTAAAGGTGTGTGCTATCACTGCCAGGTTGCAAAAAAACTTTTTTTAAAGAAAAAAATTAAAACTTATCCTGGAATCCCAGCTGTTGGGAAGCTGAGGCAGGAGCCTGGGTGACTTAATGAATTCCAAAACAGAAACAAAACAATGAAAAAATAATGTTTGGATAAGCAGGCATTCTATTGTTGGTAACTTTTGGCAGGGTCAGGACTCCATGAACATTTCTGGTACCATCCATGGAGTGGGTTCCAGGAAAATGCCCCAGGAACTCAGAATCCCGAGACTACAGATGTGCACGCTGACACCAGGCTCAATGTAACCATCTGGGCTAGAGGAATAGGGGATGTGCCATATTACCATGTTTGTCCAGGAAAAATGACAGGGCTGAAAACGAAGTTTAGCAGTATGGAATTTACATTAACAATGGGAGAGCCTGGCTCAAACCCCTAGCACTGTGTGACCTTCTCAAATCTGCAGATAATCAATGTGCATGGCAACTAATTGCTGGTGGTCACTAAGGCATAAAACCATACACACACACATACAGAGAAAGAGAGAGAGAGAGAGAGAGAGAGAGAGAGAGAGAGAGAGAGAGAGAGAGAGAGAGAGAGAGAGAGAAATCTGGAGCCCTGCACTTACTTTGTGCCCTCTAGGCTCTGGCGGGAAGTGGGGAAGCAGGTGTTGGGGTCCCTGCTGCTCACTTGGCTGTATCCACAGGCCTAGCTCAGAATCCACTGCCAAGAGACATGCTCCCTGTCCAGCCCTTCCACACGTGTCCCAGCTGAGAACTCAGCTGCATTCATTATGAGCAAAATCCCCATGACGAGGGGCCTTTCGTGGAGGCTTGGTGGCTTCCCACTTGAAGGTCAAGCCCTGCCTGGTCACCACCAGCCCTGGACTTCATAGTGATTTCTGAGCTTGGCTGTTTGTAACAAAGACTGATGCCTTGGACTGGGGGAGAGGAAGGGGAACTCAGGAATGAGGCCTGAGCAATGAACCCTCTAAGAGACTTCCATGCAGCCAAGTTGGAGAACCACAACTCTGTTCTAAGGCCAGAGGCGCAGGAACTTGTGCTAAAAACCAGATAACTTGTTTTGTGACAAATATAGGTAAAAAACAGAGCAGCTAGAAAATGCCACCGGGGATGTTTTTAAACGTTTCTATAAGCTGATGTGATCTAGAAAACCCAGGCTTGTGATAAATGTCTTCCTAATGGCTTCATGGAAACTTGGCAGTCATGTGGCCTGTCCTCCTGTGGACAGGGTCCCATGGCAAGGTTCCCTGCCCGTTTACACCAGGCATGTGCTTCCTCAGTGTTGGGTCAGGAACTCAGTCACTGTTTCCCTCCCCTAGTGCCTTGGTGTGCACTGGGCACTAGTTGGTCCTGTCTGAATGAGAATGTCACCACTGCCCATAGTGTCCCTAGTGCCTCATAACCATGAGTATTGCAAATGGTCCAAAGCCCCTTTCACCTCCCAGGCACCAGGCACTCATACATACATGCTAACAAAACTCATACAAATGAGTAAATCTAGATTGATAGATGCTATTATCTGGCAATGAAGAAATGTATGCTGGGGAAACCCCAGCGCTGGGAGAGTTCAGTGCCCTTACCCAAGCTCCGTGCCATGCCTAGCCTCTGTGTCAGCCAGCTCACAACCACAGGTCCCTGAACTTACATGTGCTTTCAGTAGACAGAAACACACATAACAGTAAAAATAAAATTGCTTAGCATACTTTGCAGATCTGAGTTCAAGGTCAGCCTGGACATCCTGAAGAAACTAAAAAAACTAACTTGCTGCCTTGGAGTGTGATCAGCACTGTAGGCTCAACTCAGTGACTGACTCCTCAAAGAAATGATAGGTTTTCCTGTCTCGGCCTCCAACACACCGCAGGCATTGGCTTCAGAATCCACTTTCAGAGATGCTAAACCTTGGAAGGCCATCTCTGTGGGGGATGGCTGCGTTGTAGGTGGTGTGAATCCGTTCTTGTATTTGGAAAGTGAGTTAGGGCTTGAGGGATGTAATTGTGTTCGTCTAGTGTCCTCAATTTGTCAAATGGTGACCAATCGATGTGATCTAAAAATCCCCTTTCCAGTAATGCCACATCTTACTCTATAGGGCTGAAGTTTGAACACAGGGCCTGTGCATAGTAGGTCACCCATCAAGCCACTTCCCCATCACCAGAATACTCAGACAGTCCTGGTGGACCTGACTGGGTAAGGGTAACATAAAGATTTGTGGACTTATTCTCTTCTTACTGGCTGACAGATTTGCACTGGACATGGTCCAGTCACAGATGAGCTTAGATGGTACCCTAGAGGTTCTGCTCCAGACTGCCCACATAAGGGCCTCCAGAACTCTCACCAGACAAGTCCATCCATCCAACCTCACCCCCTTAAAAAGGACATTTTCACGTATGTGCTTGGGAAGACTGAGGGGTGGCAACCTCGGATCCTGGGCCCCTTGTTTTAAATACAAACATCCCTCACACTGGGTTCAGGGTTTGACACATAGCTACACGTGTCTGAGCATTAGCCTTCGTACAGGGGACAGGATCTCCCTGTGCAGCACTGGCGGGCCTTGAACCCCAACCACCTTTCAACCATGTTTGGCACAGGATAAGATGGCCCCATGGGTCCAGGAACTTGCCACCCAGGGAGTGACCAGAGTCTGATCCTTCTCAGAGCCTTGAGGAGAGAGTAACTTCTTTGGCTCCCACGTGTGTTGTGGCGTGTGTAATTGCCACTCCCGCCGTACATATGAAGAAACACAATATGTTCCTAAGGATGGTCAGTCACCTGTCAATAGTCTGGTCATCATGTCGAGGTCATCTTTGTGCTAATACCCTATGCCTTGCAGTGCAATCCCCTTCCCCCAGCTGTCCTTACTTGGTAGAGTCACAGTGGTCCTGCAGAGACCCAGAGGCCCCAGCATCCCCACCCCAGAATATCACAGACGAGACCCAGCTGGTTTTACCCATTCACAGGCAGCTGAGGGCTCTCATAAGGACTGAGGCTTTTATTATGTATGAAGAACCGCTGGGGTGGGGGGGTCTTGCCTGTGGCCACCCCCAGAGATTACACTGGGCTCCAGACACTAGCTTACAAGTAAGATGACAGAAACAACTCAGCCAATCAGATAGTTACACAGCAGGGGTCTCCAGCAGGGCTCCATGTGTCTAAGGAAGCAGTGGCATGGGAGGGACAAGCACTGGGCGGGCCTTGAGCCGCCATGACGACATCGGGTACAGGGTCTAAGCAGCAGGTGTTTCCAGGGATCTCTACCCCCTTTACTTGGCCAGGGGGTTCCTGAAGGATCTGCCAGCAAACTTGGCCTTGCTGCCCAGCTCTTCCTCGATTCTTTGCAAAGAGAGGAAGAGAAGAGAGAAACAAAAGCACAATCAGCCCCCAATACAGAAGGTGTGGTGGTCCATCCTGTTAACTCTAGTCTCAGTCCAGCCAAGCTACACAGTGAGATAATGGTTACATCCAGGAGGATGGCACAGCCTGCTGTCACTCAGCTTTCCTTAGGGGTAGCTCTCAGCTTGTAATGGGGATAAACCCTCAAGGTCAGCTGTTCCGCCCTCCACCAGAAGATGGCAGCACAACACAGGGCAGGCACCTGCTTTTTGGCACACTCCTACAGGATCTGTGCCTGATCTATACCCACCCATTGTCCCAGAATGCATCTTTACCTGAGGATCTGATTGTACTTGGCCAGACGCTCAGATCGGCAAGGGGCACCAGTCTTGATCTGGAGGGACAAAGGAAAAGCTATTACAGAAGCACCCAGGGACCATGCTAACCTTTACTCCCGCAGCTCAAGAGCAGCACCTGCAAACTGCACCCAGGCAGGCTCAGCTCTTACCTGCCCAGTGCAGAGCCCCACCACAAGGTCGGCGATGAAGGTATCCTCAGTCTCCCCAGAGCGATGGGACACCATGACGCCCCAGCCATTGGACTGGGCCAGCTTACACCTGAAGAAAGGGCACAAGTCGGTCATGTGATGCCCTTTGCTCTCCCTCTCCAAGCTACTGCCTCAGCATCTGTCGCCTCCTCTGCACGTTTGGAGCCCCAGGGTCTCCTCATCCTAACACCCTGACATCAAACCACCCAGAGACAGACTGAGGCCTCCTCCGGGAAACGAAGCCACAGGGAGTGAGGACCAGGCAACAGTGCTTCTCCCCTTCCGCGGTTGCCACCATCCCGGAAGCCCCCCCCCCCGCTACTTTACTCACGCCTGCAGAGACTCGGTCACAGAGCCAATCTGGTTGACTTTGAGCAAGAGGCAGTTGCAGGACTTCTCACTGACGGCCTTGGCAATCCTCTTAGGGTTGGTGACTGTAAGGTCATCCCCAACCACCTGGATGCCGGCGCTGGCTGTGAACTTCTGCCAGGCCTCCCAGTCGTCCTGGTCAAAGGGGTCCTCGATGGACACCACTGCAGAAAACGGGGAGGGGTCATCGGCTGTGGCCCAGGGCGCCATCTCCCCTCTCCTTCCCCCTAAAGGGAGTTGTTTTGCCTATCTGTATGGCTTAGAACTTGTGACCCTCCCACCTCCTAAGGATTATGTGTGCACCTTAGGGTCTCTTCTTAAAGAAAGTATGGCAACCAACTGTTAACTCCAGTTCTAGGGGACCCAACACCCCCGGGAAAACATCAATATACATACAATTAAATAAAAGGGGTATGGGGCGGGATGAGAAGTATATGTTGGAGATTTTGCCTTAACCCTGATCAAACTGGACCCAACCCTATGCAGGCACAAGCTACAGCTGACAGGACATTGGCCACGGAGCGCTCACCTGGATAATCCTGGATGAAGGACTTATACAGGTCAGCCAGCTGGTCGGGTGTGATGTACCTGCTGGAGTCATCAGGAGACTTGAAGTCCAGGTCATACTTGCCCGACCTGAAGAACTCAGAGGCAGCCACGTCCATGCCAATGACAACCTGGTCCGTGTAGCCGGCCTTCCCAATTGCGTTCTTCAGCAGCTCCAGAGCTAGAATGAGATGGGGAGAAGGGGTTACTTAACAGGGAGACAGAAATAAGACTTCACTGTCACGGTCACCAAACGGGGACTGTCATGGAGAGAATCTACCCCGGCCTGGTAGTGGGCTTGGTGTTGTCAAGTACAATTCCCGCTGTGGCTATTGTTGGGGGGGGACCCTCTGCACCCATTAAGTGGCAGACTCTAACAGTCTTTCTCATGGTCAAGTGCCACGACAGCTGTGTTGGCTAGACACAATTACAGTGACCAGCTGAGATCAGCTACTGGCTTTTTAAAAATAGAACGGGGGCTGGAATCCAAGAAGGATACCTCAGCAAGGGTTATCTCAAGCTAAGGTCACCAAGACACATGGCTCCAGCCACCTGCCAGGGACCCACCCAGCAGTCACACAAAGTAAAGTCCATCTCAAACAGGGCCACGAGGCCAGAAAGGGCCAGTGACTGGTGAAGAGGCGCTTGTCACCAGGCACAGCAACCCAGTTCTGTAACTCCAGCCAAGGTTGAAGAATTGTATGTTCCCACTCACATACGCAAAATTAATGGGATCAAATAAATTAATTTGCTGCCACCCCAATAAAATGACAGAAACAAGCAAACAAAAAACCAAAGCTCCAGTCTTCTTCCTCAAAGCCTGTCACTAGAGTCTGGATTCTGTCCCCAAAGTGGCAGGTGTGAGGGGACAGTGCCATGCAGCTCAATGCTTACCTTCCTTGTTCTCCAAGATGTTGGGCGCAAATCCACCCTCATCACCCACATTGGTGGCATCCTTCCCGTATTTCTCCTTGATGACATTCTTCAGGTTGTGGTAAACCTCTGCCCCAATGCGCATGGCTTCCCGGAAACTGGACGCTCCCACGGGAAGGATCATGAACTCCTGCATGGCCAGCTTGTTGCCAGCGTGGGAACCGCCATTGATCACATTGAAAGCCTGGGAGAAGCAGAGAAGAGCTAAGCTAAGAGATCGAGGCACAGGGTCCTTGTGGCCCCCGTGACGTGACACTTGTCAGAATTAACTGCCAACCCAACACAATTGAGAGGCCCATGGAATGAGTCCTCTGGAGGGACTATCTGGAACATTTTGCTATTGGCCTGTCTGTGGGGACATTGTCTCGATTAGGTTGACTGATAAGTAGCACCTGACCCCTGTGGGGAGCACCACTCCCCGGGTTTGGGTTCTGAATCACAGAAGGGTGGGGGTGAGCTGAGTGGGCTCTACCCCTCCAGGTCTCACTATGTAGTCCTCACTCCACAACATAGACCAGGCTGGCCTCAAACTCACATCTGCCTGCCTTTGACTCCCGAATCCTGGGATTAAAGTTGTGTGCCTCAGCTGCCAGCCATAATTGCCCTTTCTTTTCTGGAACCTAGCAGTGATTCATTCCAGATTAGGATTAGTGTGTTCAATTATATAGACTCCCCAGCCTGTGGCTTCCCTGCTAGAACTGTGAACTATAACTTTTCCTAAACTGTTTTTTTCTTGGAGTGTTGCACTGCAGCAAGCAACAGAACCGAAGCAGGGCAAACAAGTTGCAACAAGTCACTCACGGGGACGGGAAGGATGACTTCAGGGTTGCCAGCCAAGTCGGCGATGTGACGGTACAGGGGAACCCCCTTTTCTGCAGCACCAGCTTTGCAGACAGCCAGGGACACACCCAGGATGGCATTTGCACCAAATTTAGCTAAAATAAATTGGTAAAACTTAGAAATGGCTTTTCCCATCTCCCCCTGGCCTGCTCCACTCGAGATCTTCATGCAAGCCGGTATCTTCCGACCCCGTCACTCACATTTATTCTCAGTGCCGTCCATCTCGATCATCAGCTTGTCAATCTTCTCTTGCTCCACAACGTTCAGTTTCTATGGGGAGACGGTAAGGTCAGTGCTAAGGCGTCACCTGCCCTCCCTCTCAAACCAAGCACCACTTTAGAAGCAAGCTCTAGGTCTGCAGGCCAAGGGGCTGGGCGCGGAGCTCACTAGGGAGCTTTCCCTATGCCTGTGGGAGTGGGGCTGGCTTAGGCCCTGGCCCCAAACACAATGGTTAAGAGCATAGCAGGAGGAAACAAGCCACATTTGACTTGTCATTAACAGCTTCAGGCATTTCCCTGGGTCCTCAGACTCTAGGGAGTCAAGGTCACACACCTGCTTTATAAACTATGACTATAAACAAGGCTGTGTTTGGACACAAGCTAAGCAATAAGGCGTATTGTTCTGTCAAAGCCGGCTCTGCAGAGGCTGCCGCCAAGGTTGTCCCTCTTGACCATGACAATTGACAGGCACCTCCACTGTATTTGGGTGGTCCAAGATCACCCATAAAATGCTGATAAAAATGGGTATTGTGGTGAGCTGGAGACGGCTCAGTTGGTCAGTGACTTGTGGCTCTTTCTTACAGAGGATTGACCAGGGTTCAGTTTCCAGAGCCCACAATGGTCTACAACTCCGGTTCCAGGGGATTTGATGCTACTTTCTGCCTTCCACATGCACCAGGCATGCATGCACGTGGTGCATAAACGCACATGCAAGGAACTCCCCTACACAATCACAAGCTGTTCATGTAAAAGCCATGGCAGAGAATGATGCCGTGTGAATGTGCACCATCTTCCTGCTTTGACAAGGCGTAGCTGAAGCAGAGCTCCCAGAGGCCATAACTAAGCTCAAGGTGTCCCCACGAGTAAAAGCGAGGGGAAGGCCTGGGGACAACGAGGTGTCCTGGAGACTGGAGCGGAGGGCACACGGAGAGCTGCAATGAGCAACTGTCTGGAGACCGGCAAGCAGAACCAATTACAGCCTAACAAAGGCTTAGCTGGGGACAAATGACAGCATGGTCCACAGTGAATGGGAGGACCTAGATGTCAGCAAAACAGGAAGTATGACCATCTGTCAAGGTGACTTGGAAAGGGCCACAGGAAAATTCTGGGTAAGGCTGTGGGCCATCGGTCCCTTCAGACCCAATCCAGTCTTAACTCTGCTAGAAACACTGGGTTAAACTAAGATGGAAAAAAAAATCATGTGTCTGTTTGAATGTATGAGGGTGACTGCAGAGGCCAATGAGGGCTTTGGAACCCCTGAAACAGGGTCACAGGTAGTTGCTGTACCATCTTACCTGTGGAAGAGCAGTAAGTGGTGCTGAGTCTCCCAACTCCCAAATGAGTATTTTTTTGTAATGAGCTTAACGCAGGGCTTGGAGCATAGCATGGAAACATTAGATACTATCTATGGGGGTCGGGTCCTGCCTATCTCCCTAGGACCCAGATCGCCGTCACATACCAACACCACAACCTGCTTTGTGCAAAGTGCTTGGGACTGAAGTCTGGGCTTCCTGAATCTGTGCACACCGTCACCCTATCCTGCGTCCCAGTCAGTGTGACCAAGCCAACCCAAGAGAGTAATAAATTTCAAAGTCCACGGACAATGTCCCACGAGGCTGCTATCAAAATCTGGACCATGTCCTCCCAAAGGTCAAGACGCACAGGCAGCAATGCCAAGCACCCCCTCCCATCCAGTTTCAGGCGCCATCGGAAGCGACAGCAGCATACAGGCGGCAGCAGGCGGGTTAGACTTATGCATGAGGGCATCCTCAGCTTTTAAAGCTCTCAGAATAAGCTGTCCTGTGATCAAGAAGGGCTGGGCCTGGGATTTGCTCTGGTGGCGTTGATAGGCAGTAGTTACCAGGAAGTGGGTCCTACCTTGCTAACCAGAGCAGGTGCGATAGTTTTATTGATGTGCTCAACAGCCTTTGAGACACCTAGAAGGAACAATCATGAAATTACCGACATTGCTACAGCGAGCAGGGCTGAGTAGCATCGCTGGAGCCCCGGAGTGGTGGGCCCAGAAGCCACCCTCCACAGCACGTCTAACTCCCCATTTCCCCCAGAATGAGGCTTCCTGGCCCAGTCTGAGTGCTCTTCCTAAGGACCCCAGGGGGTTAGAGCCACACAGAGAGCAATCAGCCCAGATGACCTGAGGGACGTTAGTTGAAGACCATGCACCGGGAGGAGCAGCGGGCACACCCAGGAAGCCGGCTGGGTGCGTTACCTGAGTGCACAAGGCTGGTGCCAGGAACTCATTAACATACTTAACGGGTCTCGAGACGCCTGCCCAGTGGAGGTGGATAGAGAAGGAAACGGAGACTCAGGAGAGAGGAGACAGCAAAGGAAAGAAAGCCAGGAAAGAACCGGGAGCCCCAGATGTCAGCTTCCCCTGAAGGCGGGATTGATCGTCACCCGTGAGACCTGGCTGTCCAGCTCTGGTGAGGCCTCTAGTAAGGGTCTTCGTGTTTTACTTGAGGAGACAATCCTTACAAAGTCCAGTGCACACCGTTTTCCCTCTCTTGCAAAGCCCTTTTCCTAACTGCTGCCTCAACACCACTGATGTGTCAGCATGGGTCACAGTAACATTCCAAGGTCCTCAGTTTCTTTAGTTAGACCCACACACACTTACATCAGGGAAGGGGACGGAGCCCAGTTACGAGTGGTTGGCTGTATTCCAATTACAGAAAGGTGACAGCCATGCCAAGCTGGCAGGTCACTCTGCGCCTGTCACCAGGCAACAGAAAAGGCAGACTACAGAACTGTCTACATGCCTCCCCATTGAAGATGGGAGTGGTTTCCAGAGCCCAGACGCTTCTGGGAGGAAGAGGCATTCCGATATTTCAGACAAGTCTCCTGTGTTTGCGTGCCCAGTTTCCAAGGTTGGACGTGTGGGCGGCGATGAGTGGCCCTGCTGGCTCAGCGACATGAGTGAAACTCGGAAAGGGACGAGAGAGGCTGCGGCCTGGAAGTGGGACCTATGTTCCTGGCCTTACCCTTCCCCATGTAGCGCGTCTTGTCATTGTCACGGAGTTCTAGGGCCTCGTAGATGCCCGTGGAGGCACCGCTGGGCACAGCAGCTCGGAAGAGACCTGGAATAGAGGGGAACGGCAATTAAGAAATACAGCATTCACGCAGGCCCAATGCACAGGAGGGTGAGACAGCAGCATGTCCATGTGTCTGCAGCCCAGTTGGATGAAAGCAAGCACACTGATTTCTTTTTTCCTTTGGTTATTCGCGAGACAGGGTTTCTCTGTATTGTTTGAGGCTGTCCTGGAACTCGCTTTGTAGACCAGGCTGACCTCAAACTGCCTCGAGTAGACCGCCTGCCTCTGCCTCCCGAGTGCTGGGATTAACAACCAGGCTCTACGGGGCATTTTTATTCAACAGATAGGAAACAGCTGAGAGCCCCGCAGCCTCGCCATAGGCTACACACAGACAGGCTGTTGCTGAAGGTTTGAGGATCCTTCTTTTCCAGGCGATGGGAGGATGGGCAGGAAGGGCTGGGCTCTGGCGCTAGACTCGTGACTCAGACAATGACTCAGCTCTGACTGGCAGGTCCTGGGGCGCTCTCTGCAGGACCAGTACCCACTGTGTCGTCCTCAGGCCCCTTTCCCACCACAGCCCATGCATCTCTGCATACAAAATGACCTAGCACAGGGCTCCTTTCCAGTAGGAGACAGCTTCTTGTTGTGTAGCCCAGACTGGCCTCAAAACCAGCAATCCTGCAGCAAGGCCTATGTGTATTAGCTGCCACACTCAGTCAGCTCCTTCTAAGAGTCTTTTACAATGCTGTGATTTGAACTTAGGGCCTCCCACATGCTAGGCAAGTGCTCTGCCACCTTTATTCCCAGGCCCTTAGGCTGAGTAAAAAGAGCCTCTGGGTCGTCCCAATGGCCCATCAGGGGACTTAGCAGCCACACCTTTCTTATCATGCCTGATTGTCCCCCCCTGCTTCTTTGATCACAGCATGCTGTTAAACCAAAAGCTGGTCCCTTTTAAGGACATGGGGGGGTTAAGCCCTCACTTCACTTCCTCACCCCAATGATACACCCAACCCACATCCTGTCTTAACCACCAGGAAGCAGAGCTGGGCATGGTAGCACACGCCTGTAATCTCGAGAGAGAGAAGGCTGACACGGTTGGGATGAGCACATGGGATGCTGCCTCGGTACCCCAGGCCACCCCAGCATCATTTCTCAATGGGACGTGGTAGAAGAAACCATGAAAAACGGACACACACCTTTTGAGGTGTAGAGGTCAACTTCAACAGTGGGGTTCCCACGGGAGTCAAAGATCTCTCGGGCGTGGACCTTGAGAATAGACATGGCTTGTTTCTGCAAGGAAAGAAGAATTCATATTTTCCATAATGTGTAACACATTCAAGGGATTACTTCTGAGGGATTCTGGAGGTGAGCTAAGTATTACACACAGGAAGGTTGCTTATCAAGGGAGATGTGGGGAGGTCAGTGAGGCCTGCTGGGAGGTCCCCTTAAAAATCAAGCCGAGCGCTGGCCATCCAAGTCAGGCCTGCTGGCCCCATATTAGTACAACAGAACCACTCTTACACATTTGTTGCTGATCACAAGTGCACGGTGGCACATCCCAAATAAGTAAAAACCAAGTTTCCACACAAACGCAGTCTGGAGGCTAAAGCCATGGCTTTGTGTTCAGGTGGCATGCTCAACACCCTGGCTTCGCTACAGCCCCCGGAGTCGGGGGAGGCAGCAGCAAAGGTGTCCCCAGCAGCACTAGGGCCCAGAGCACAAGAATAAAAAATCCGAAGTGTTTAAGGACTAGTGCAAAAAGTTAAAAAAAAAAAACTAAACCCATCGGTCCTCCAACTGGACGGTACAATGGGCTGCTTACACACGCAAGGCCAAACGAGAAGATGAAACAGTGTTGGAAGGCCACACAGGCAAACCACGTAAAATTAGGCAAAAAAACAAAACAAAAAACCAGCATAGCTTATACTGTGCCCATGGCACCAGTGGAATGTTCATTTCATCATCGGTGAAAAATTGGGCTTGGGCCGGGCGTTGGTGGCGCGCGCCTTTAATCCCAGCACTCGGGAGGCAGAGGCAGGCGGATCTCTGTGAGTTCGAGGCCAGCCTGGTCTACAAGAGCTAGTTCCAGGACAGCCTCCAAAACCACAGAGAAACCCTGTCTCGAAAAACCAAAAAAAAAAAAAAAAAAAAAAAAAAAAAGAAAAATTGGGCTTGGAAGGCAGCAACAGAGAACTCCTTCGTCTGTGATCAATAGCGCGACACTCTCTGGTCTGCTGGCACGTGTCTGCTAACTTGCCTAGCACGTGGGCGGCCATGGGTTCCATCCCCACCGCCATATTTAGGACACTGTGGTTTCTGATTCATTTCTTTCAAAAGGGCATTTTATCTCATTAAAAAAGTGGACAAAACACTAACGAGGTTTAACTAACAAGCATCCTAAGCAAGAGGTTTATTGGACAACAGACTTCAAAGAAAACCCCTTTCTTACGTTTTCCCCAGTAGGTTTTCCAAGACAGAGATTTACCAATGAGCTTTTTGTTTCAACTGAGTAGCTAGCTTCTTCTGTTGCTTTGCCTTGCGAGACAAAGGATCTTTATACACTAATCAAAAAGTATCTACTTTTTACACTGTTACAAAAATCTACATTTTAAAAAATCAATTATTCACTACGTAGATTTCAAACACAGTGTTGTAGAAAAGGCTGGGTCTAAATGCCATTTACTTCTTTGTCTTTCCCCATCCCTGCTGTCCCCCCCCGCCCCGTTCTACCGATGCCAGGTGGATCCGAATGATCCTCTTGCCGCGGCCTGCCCAGTGCTGGGTTTATAAGGGCGCATCCCCTTGTCTGGCACAATGGCCCTTTAATTTTTTTCATTTATTTGGGGCGGGGGAGGGCCCACGTGCCAGGGGGCACTTGGAAGCCAGACTAACTTGTAGGAGTTGGATGAGCGTATGACTCGGATCCGTAAGCACTCTCATTACCCAGGATAGTTTCTCACCCTCTAGATCTTTTAACCGGATTGGAGGCCGGAGCAGGGGCAGAAATGTGGACCTAGAGGTCAAACTATCAGCCCAGGCCGGCTCCGGCCTACCACGAAGGCCAAAGGACCACGCTGCTTACGCCAGAAGCAACAGGAAGTTCTCTGAAATACATCTTAAGTCGGTTCACCGCTGGCTAAGTAGCCACCCAGGAAGCCCGCAACTCTTGCCTAACTGGGGCGAGGTCTAAGGCCTTCCAAGCTATCCAACGAGACTGCCTTAGTTTCCCCCCTAGAATTAGCACCTAACAGGTCAGGAGTGTTCCGTCGCAGAGATGGGCTGGACCACTCCCTCCCCAGTGACGCTAGATTGCGGTCCAGGAGCCACAGCCCTAGCAGGATCTACGTGCGGTCACGGGGAGGGGAGCCGGGGGGGGGAGGGGGGAACGACACAGGAGGACGACGTCGAGGGACTCGGCCTCTTGTGCATCCTTGTTTCAGGCCCTATCATTTCGTGAACGTATTTCAGGTCATATCGCTCCCTCCCCTCTTAATAGCCTTCCTCCGCTCAGCTACCACCCAGGGCGGCCACCGGCCATGCTTCGCCCTCGCTGTTGTAGGCCTGGGGACCCAGTTATTTAAAGTGCAAGCCTGCGTCTGGATGCTAACAGGTGGATCTGCACCTCCACACCCCCCTCTTAGAGCCCACGTCCTTCCACGAGGCTGACCGGGAGGCTTCCCGGGTCCCCGGCACGCGCCCAGGCTAGGGGGTGCACAGGCCCGCCGGGTACCCCCCCAAGCAGAGCTCGCGCGCGAACCCGTTTGCCAAGGAGCACCGCATCCACCGGATCCCTACCTGGTTGTCGGATGGCCCTGCAGTTATAGCAGCGAGGTTTTTGCAAACACCCTGGAGAGCGTAGAGCAGCGAAGTGCGCGCGATCCGGTTCCCGAGATGATCTAAGCGCCTCCCACTCCGACTTTGGACGCAGCTCGGATGGCCACGCCCATTCTTCCCATTTCGGGCCCGCCCTCTGTCCTCTCCGTCTTTGCATTGGCCCTTCTTGCTGTCACTCCAGAAGAAGAGCTTGACTGAGGTGTCAGTTGTGCCTGCACAGGCTGGGGACGCTGGCCCGGGGGCGGGGGTAGACGTGGCTGGCTGGGCCTGTGGCATTGTGGTGTTGCTGGGCGAGCCTCCCGCTGGGGGCCGGGGGCCGAGCTGAGGGTCTACGGAGCCTGGATGAGGGCGGGGCGTCGCTACGCGGCCGGCATGCGGGCTCCGGCCCGCGGCACGTACTCCGTGTCCCACACGCACTCGGCGTGGAGGCGCCGAGCACGTCCGGCCCTCGACCTTGTTGGTGACCTTCGCGGCCCGGCCCCTTCGTGGGCCTCGCCCCGCCCCGAGGTGTGGGAGACCCCAGCGGCGTGGAAACGTTAAGCCGTAGCGTGGGAGCCTCACTCGCGTGGAACGGGGCGCGGGTGGGGTGGGGTGTATAGCACACCGCGCCTGCGCGCTGCGTGCTCCCTCCCGCCACCCCCCTCCCCCAAGAATCCGGGTCCTGGCTCTCTGGTGCCATCCGCCGCCAAGGTGACCCCGTCCTTTTGTCCTTGCTGTGGAGAGCCTCAGACAGAGGTAGCCAGAGGAAAGTGAACTTTCCCGCATCGTTACCAAACCATTTGATTATTGTGTGCAGGCTGTGGAATGCAGGGTCCCACTCGTGCTAAGTAAAGGCGGCACCCGCCCAACTGTGCCACCCTACCCTTTAGAACCCTCCTCCTCTCTCCCCGAGCTCCACCTCACCGTGAGTGAATTCCTTCTTTTTCCCTGCTAAGGTACCTTTATTGAAAGATTTACTATCTCTTTCCCTCTGGTAGTGAACTGCATCAAACCTACCTGCGTTTTCGGAGGCCTATATTTGCGTTCAGAGTTTAGGGTTTTATGGAGGCCCGAAGTCTAGTTATATCCCACAGTGATATGGGCCAATGACTGGAAGGGGTGGATGGGGTCATTTGATCTTTTTTATTAAGAAAGTCAACCTGGTGTTTAATGACAGCTCTGGCTGGGAAGGCAGAAGCAAGCGGGTCTCTTGAGTTCAAGGCTAGCTTCATCTACATAATGATTTCCTAGCCAGGGAAGGCAAAGTGATGAGACCCTGTCTCACAGAAAGGAAGAAAAGTACTGATAACCGTTAAAAACCAACTGTCTGAGAGCCGGCGAGATGGCTCTGTGCATTGGCGCCTGCCGTCGTGCCTGATGTCCTGAGTTCGAGTTCTAGGACCCAATGGTCTGCTGCAGCCCTGTCCTTGGATCTCCACCCCATCCCCAAATATAATACCAATAAAAAAAGGAAAAAAAGTAGCCGGCTTCTATTTGAAGCTAGTTTAGGCTTCTAAGGGAGACGGTCCTGTCTCAGACACTACAAGAATCTGCTTGGAACTCCTGGATTGCACATATTTCTAAAGACTGAAATGTGTTCTTCACTTTGGTTATTCTAAAGTCTAGTCAGCTACAGGAAATTACATTTCTCTCTTAATCCCTAGCATTTTGCTCCAGGCAATTCCTGACCAAGTTTTCCAAGGCCTTGGGTAAAACTGAAGGCTTATTGAGTTCAAGGTGTTAAGTTTCCATAGATGAAGAAGCAAGATCTTTGGGATTAAATTCAACAAAGAAGCAACAAGAAAATTATAAGATGATCTGTTATAACGAATGTTAGGAATTTCACAAGCAGTCTGATTTCGCCAATAATACGCTGATGTGTCTTGGCTGCATGAACGGAATATCCCTAGTACCATGACTCAGCCCCTAAACCAACAACTCTCCCTCTCCCAAGCCCTGTAAGAAGTGGGACACACTGAGCTCTGTGTTCCGTGTGATTCCAAGGCTATGGCCCTGAGAGGGCCCCAGACAACGTCTTCATTTTACACTAAAATGGTTGGAGAGATAAAGATAGAATAAGACAGCTCTTAATCCACTAGACCTGGTGACTCAGGCTGGAATCCAAAGCAGAACATGGTCTCAAGCAGCTGCCTTTGCAAGATTCCCGGAGGTCTCAGAATTCACAGGCAGCCACATGCCCTGTCGCCAAGGCTCTCCAGGCTTTGTTACAGCCCCTACTCAAGTTTGTCTGCAGTCAGCACAGGACTGTTTGCTCTGTTCCAGGCTTTTAGATGTTACTTCTCACTTGCAGGCTCTCGTTGGGCAATTGTATGGAAGTGGTACGCAGATCACAGACACAGGGAGAGGAAATGAGTAACCACTGTTAAAGAATGTCATAGTTACAGTACTGGACAGCAGACAAAGAAGGCTAGTGTGTGGCCTGTGACCCACCTGGCCGAAACCTCTGGTCCGCTGAGAAAGTGACACACCTCCTCGTGGAAGTGGGCCGTGTAGCTCAGTTGGTAGAACGCCTCTGTAGCATGCACAGGAGCCACTGCATAACTTGGGGCTGGTGGCACATACTACCTGTAAGCCCAGCAATCAGTGGGCAGAAGTAGGAGGGTCGGGAGTTCAAAGTCACCCTTGGCTATAGAGCGATTTGTCGGGCCGTGCAGAATACTTGTGTTCAAATGTGTTCGTGAAGTAGCCTTAGCTTTTTTTTTTTTTTTTTTTTTTGGTTTTTCGAGACAGGGTTTCTCTGTGGCTCTTGGAGGCTGTCCTGGAACTCACTCTGTAGACCAGGCTGGCCTCGAACTCACAGAGATCCGCCTGCCTCTGCCTCCCAAGTGCTGGGATTAAAGGTGTGTGCCACCAACGCCCGGCTAGCCTTAGCTTTTTATATACATCTAAGTTCTGATTAAAGGCTTCATGCAGCAAAGGACCAGTGAGCTGGCTCAGTGGGTTAGGGTGCTTCTGCAAACATTGACAATCTGAGCTTGAGTCCCAAGTTTCACATGGTGGAAGGAAGAGAACCGATTTCCACGTCAGCCTCAGGTTCCTACACGTGCACATACCTATGTGCATGTACACCACTACACGTGTGCCTGCGCATATGTAAAACAGAAATGTTTTTAAAAGTGGAAAAATAACTCTGCACTTTTTCTAGAAATTAAATTCCCTTTGGTTATTATCACCTTCCCAAGTCTTCCACTGGGAAAATAAACACATTTTGTCTCTGTGAGTTGCAGCCAACATTCTGCCTTTAGGATGGCTTTGAGGGCAGTCGTTAGGGTAACAGTCTCACTGGTGTCCTTGTGTGCAGGGGTGGGTGGTGGTGTTGAAGTCAGTCAAGGGTGGCCTGGGTGTAGCCCACAGTGCCGTGGGACTCAGCTCCTTCACCCATTTTAGCACACTGAGTTTGGGCATTAAGTCAGCAGTTCTAATTCATGAGCCCCTAAAGGGACTGACTTAAGCTATAGAAAGTAGGATGTAGCTAGGAATGCATTTGAGGAGACAGACTGGAAAACACAGTATGTTTTTCCAAGGGTCAAGTCAGGCATTGACCAAAGACCCCGAGTAAAGGGAATCAGAAGGGATTGATGTTAGAAAGCCCGAGGGTTGGGAGCTGTGGAACAAAAGGCCGCCCCCAGGGAGCTGAGTCCTGGCACAGGAGATAATGAACAGGGAGGTGCAGGTGCGTGTGGGTGTGTGGGACTTCGGTCTCAGCCGACTATGGAGGAGAGCCAGTGACGGTCGGCCAGAGAGCTCTCCCCTTCCTCCCGGGGCTTCTGCTTCCCAGGATGCACTTTCTCGGAAATGTGTGTGATGCCCCCAAACTTGCCAGCTCCAGGTGGCTCCTAGCGCCTCACAATAGCAGCGGCCCCAGATCGTCAATGACAGTTTTCTTCCCACCTCTGTGGGATCTCACCTCCATTTTCTCAGCATTCTAAAGATTTGACTCCTGTTGCGCTTCGTGATCCGCTGAGAAGAGGACTCTCACCAGCCTCGGGTGAACCCAAGATAATGAGAAAATTCTCCCTAGACCTGTCCCAGCCAGATAATTTTGCTGAGGAAGCTTCATTACCCTTTGAGCACCACTCTGTCACTAAGTCCAAGGCTGCCCCTCCATCATTTCTTTCTTTCTTTTTTTTTTTATGGTGTTGGGGACTGAACCTACTCATGAGCAGCCAGCGGGATATAGATGCTCATAAAAGAGGAAGTTCTGGATTGAGGGGTGCAATTCAGGCATCCTGCCTCCCCACCCCCACCCCTAACCTTTCAGCGTGAACTCTGGCCTGCTCCCTGTATTTGGACGGTGTACTCAGCATGGAATTTAGTCCCTTAATTTGCATTCCTTGCTCAAGACAAGTGCCCAGAATTAAGAGCTGCAGCCTCAGGGTTTAAGGCTGCTACCTACTCCTGCGTTTTTTTTTTTTCCTTCAGAACAAGTTTGTAACTAGTAGGAAAAAGTTTGCCAAGCATAAAGGCAGTTACATTGTATCACAAGTTGAGTTTCAGTTACCAAATGTCCCCGACCTCAGCTTTATCTGACATTCCCTAAGCAAGGCGGTAACAACTCTCAGATTTCTCACGAGCCCCATTGCAATCCCTTTGTAGTGAAGGTTCCTGGTGAGTCTTGGCGTTTTATTGTCTGTTTTGTCTCCTGGTGATGATGGAAGTGCGGGAGGGAGAGGTGGGGAGGAAGGGAGTGAGGGAGGGGGGGGGAGGAAGGGAGGGAGGATTTGAATTACAGCATTTGTCTGAGTGCTGGGGAGATTCCAGAGGCCGAGAGAAACCCAGGGTGAGCGGAAGAGCAGCCAGGAGGATTTACAACTGGTGGAATGGGTATCCTAAGAGGCTGATCTCAATCTTAAAGGCCGGGCGCTAGATAAAAATAGTGATGGCAACCTGCTGAAGATTCCAGGCCACCGGAGCTCAGCAGGACAGCGGCGCCAGTCAATGGCGGAATCAGAAACTGCACCACACGGGTCAAACAAGGTGCCAGTCAGATAAATGGCCTCGCTTTGAGGTCTTTCTGAGGGCCTGCCATGCCTGGCGCTCCTCCTGGAAGGGTCTCTCAGGCTTACACTGACCTGAACACAGTTGGCAGGACCAAGGGTCAGCACCCGGAGTGGTCTGTGTGAGGATCTGGCCTGAGAACCTTGCCTAGTAGGAGCCTTTTAACAATGCAATTGTGGGGGACTAGCCTGCCTAGGGGTTCTGCACCTTTGGGAAATTTGGGATCCTTAGCTACGTAGAGGACATTTTACTGGTAGAAGAAGACAGACATAAAAAGACAAAACAGTCTGTAAGTAGGAGCCACAGGACTGGAAATCCTGAGGAAACATTCCTGCAGGCTGTGGGAGGAAGCCCAGGGACAGCTGGCTCATCTAGTAGGAAGGGAAGGTGGCAGTTCCCAGGAGCTGCAGCCCGTGAGTGACAGAGCATGGTGAGTGACATTTTAGTTTTCAGGAGGCCCAGTATCCACCGCTCCCATTGCTCTCCCTGAGCCCCTCCTGGAAGGCCTTGTAGCTTGGTGA